ATAAGATTCAAGTATTTTCATTTATTATTTCAATTAGAAAGTTATTTCAAAGTTTTTGTCAATCGTTACTCGACAGGGAGCTGTTGTTAGTTATAAAAATAATGATACATTTTTAGGTAGTCAAATATCTATTAAATTAATAAATTCTGAATTTGTTTCATAAATGACTGCAGTGAACAACAAGAAGGCTTTCGTAACAATTGTCCTCTACCGTGAAATGAAAGATTTTACCTGTACATAACTTCAGTATGCTGTCACTTTGAAAAGAACCTACCTATTGGATGTTTAGTAACAACTGGTTACCCTGCCAAATGAAACATTAGTTAGTTTAGTGACAGCTTGTTGTCTATTATTGTATATCTATCTACATTATGTATGTAATTCCGAAACTTGTAGAACAATGCATCTCATTTCAGTGCATTGTCGGTAGTTCCGCTCTGATTTACCACACAGAGGAGGATTACTTGACAACATGTAACACTTGCTGTATAGCTGTAATATTAGAACTGTTTAATATAATTAAACTGTTTCATGACATAGGAAAAGTGACCTTAGTAACTTTTTCGCTATTTTATTTACTATCAGATATTTATATACATTATACGTTTGCTTCAATAGGTACGGATCCGAAATTTTATTGTCAAGCATAAAGGCTTATACAGTATGTTACCATTGTCACCAATCTATTATGAAAATATCGTCATAGCTAAGGTCTCGTGGATGGCAATCGCATTTGTAACCACAACGAATGAGACGCAAGGAAAAACAATAAAAAACACATAAATAAACCGTCTTCAGTTTCTCTTTCAGAGCAAACTTTCCATAGAATACAAAGTAAATTACCTGCGTGTGGAAAGCATGGCGTACGCACTACGCGCAATGTTCGTACAACTTAAAAGTTGCATCTCTTAATCACATAATCGCTGTAATTTTCTTCTATCAACATGAAGACAGTTGTCTAATTCGATAAACTGTGGGACACGGATACCTGGCCAGTGTCTCCTGCGCGACGGTGGGCGTGTGGACCCACTAATGTGCTGCGTCGGCGACGTCGCGTAATGCGCTAATGATTGCCGCGCCGCGCGCCACCACGCAAACTGACTGTTAGGCAGTCGATCAAACATTTTAGTGCACGATCTTATCATTAACAATTTGAGCTCGGTAAGAAATTATCATTTATGAAAATTGAAGGAAATTCTTCGTTAATGTAACAAATTCGTATGTTTTAAGCTTAGCTCGTGTAGTCACTCTCGTAGCGAGTGTGTAAATTAAATTCATTTTCACCAATTATGTCACTAATAAGACTGACTTAATAAAAACATAATATATCTACAGACATACACAGACATAGATAAAGGCTTCAATCAAGTTTAATATCTAATTTTGAAATATAAAGACAGTCACTTAAGTTATACTATGTGAACAGCGATAAACCGGACGGACAATGTCTCCTCATGCTAATTATATGACAGTCGGTGACTTCTGAGACATTCATACTTAACAAAAGTCTATAAAAGATAATTGTATCAATTAAGACATTTACTTTTATTAGTAATTAACGTGGTTTGTACATGACTCGTAAAATCGTGGACTAAGACATTTCGCGCGGCGTGGGAAACATCTCGGACTTCATATCCGGATTATACCAAATTTATAGCAATTAAGAATCTATCAAGAATTACTGTACATGTATACGTACATGATGATCTGTAACACAGGTTATACTTTTAACAGACACCAGTCTCTTAATTGTAACATATTACCTATATAATTTGTATCGGTAGAGTATTTTTGAGAAAATAAAGATTTTTATTATTTTTATTATTATTATATTATACGTATTAAATTATAATAGGTACTTTATGTAAGATTTCACTAGTTCAGAAGTGGTAAACATTTCTGTGTACCATTAAATTAACAGAGGTAGGCGTATCCATACACTAATTTCTATAAGAATACGTATTACCTAACATCCTATCAACCGTATTTTAATAAGTTTAATAGTAAATGTCTGGCAATTCTCTTCGTATGTTAGATATTCCCTCCACACTAAGCTGCGAGCTGGGTTCTCCATAAATCCTGCAGTTTCTATTCAAATAAGTGTCTCACGCGGTGTTAAAGGCACATTCTTCATTCGTATTATAGCGCAGTTTATGTGTGATAGCTCGTCGCACGTCATTGCAACGTTAAGTGCTAATATTGTGTGCTGTCAGCTCCATAAATATTGAGTGACTTGGCTTTTATGAGTATTGTGTCAATCGCATTAAAATCCTGAACCTTAGCCAGTTACAATACGCTGTTAACTTCATCTATCGACGCTGAGCTAAGACGAGGTCTTGTATTGTATTTTTTATATAAATTATAAAATTTATCTACAAATACTTTTCACAAGGTCCGTAATTCTAAGCACTTTTTTAGAATTATATCTTGAGAACGTTTATAAATTAAGATATAATTACATAATGGCTCTCCGTATGTTGAAGCCGACTACATATGTGCAGATTGTGCAGTTACCATTAACGTAAAAATCCTATAAACCCTTAAAAGGCCAGAACAGAGTCTATAATAAATCGGCTACCATTTGAGTGGCTCACGTGCTGCAGACCGATAGCGCGCGATATTTTATTTATTTGTTCCCTACATGGCGCGCAATCTTACGCTCAGCCTCCCCGAGCCGATTGATCAAAATCACCTTTTCTATTGCTGTATTGAAGTTATAGAAAAGTACCTGTATATTACTTTTTAAAACGAACTTCATTTTTGGAATTAGGTATCTATGTGTGGATCTTGTAAAGGAATGTAAGGTAATGTCGGGTTTATTTTTCATGTCATTAATTGCACTTTTATCAATTATTTGGCATATCTAACACTTCCTCTAATTTTTTAGGATTATTAAAGGAGTTACACAGAGATCTTCCTACGTCTGAAAAATAAAAATAATATTTGTACATTCATTAAAAATATAATTAGGTACAATAACCAAGCAAATCTAAATACGTAGGTATAGTACAAAGGGTAACAGAGGTATTCTTAAATAGGTGCTACCGAACCTGATGTATCATTGTTGGATATTGCATCGCATAGAATTTTACCTACAGCCACTGTAAGCTGCAACGAAGATTATTCATACCGCAAATGGATATGAATATTTCAATAACAATTTGAAATGTTTACGATATAAATGCTCGAACCAATGGTTCGTAGTTATATTACTGCGCGGTCCTGTCTCAATAACAATAGTTTGATGAATTCTATCGTTTATTACGCATTCATTTGTTATTTTGAGAAAACAGCTGTGTTACCTGTCTGGTTTGTGTAGTAAAAAGTAATTATTTATCATGAGATATGCATCTAGTTTTGTACATTATCTGCGGGAATAGATGCGAAAATGAATACCTAAGTTAGCAAAAAGTACTGGCCAAAGTTAATACCTACTTTCAGTTCAGCAGAAGCTGCTGCCTTCGAGCTGTTGAATTCGACCACTACATACAACATCGATCGATATTTTTTTTATGATTTAAATAATACAGTTGTGTTTGACCTTTACAACATTGTGCAATGCTTTTTCATTTAGGTAAATTCATAGCTCTCTTGTACTTCACCATGGATAACCCTGTTCTAACAAGTTGTTATATCGTTGATGTACACTCAGACTCACCAGTTTGTACACAAATGAAGCGATTTAAACAACGTGCCTATAATAAAAGCGAAATATTAACTTAAATAATCTATGAAATCAAAACTTAACTTTAAATTTACTGATCTATAGATATCCATCCATGAAATTCGTCAGTTTTGTGAATGGATACCTCACTAAAATTGAATTGAAAGGTCACAACACTGAACAAAACAAACGAAAGTCCCTTCTTAATTCTTTGGCGTTCTTCCAAAATATCAACTTTTAATGCACAAGCAGTTGTTTAACGTTTCTTACAGGACTGTACTATGGTCGAGCTCGAAGCTCGTGATCACTGGATGTGTTCGTTTTTTACCAACCAGTCCGACCAGCGAGTTTATGGGTTTCATATTTCACCTCCACGCGGCTAGGTGCAGTACTGCGCTAAAAACAGGTCGGATGGTACCGTAGCACTACATGCAGTTTTTATACGTAGGTGTACGATCATAACACGAAACGGGAATTATATACAGACATTGTAACAATGGCAATCGCGAACAAAGTCGACTATTATAAAGAAAATCAAAAAAACAGTAAGACGATCATAAATTTTACATTATGTATGTTTAAGCAAAGGTACAGCCACCATAACATTAATAGCATAAGATAGAATATTACACCTCAAGTCGATCGAATGAATACAAACAGCAAAATACAAATTTATGCGAAGACTGTCGTTAACCTCTGTAACCTCAAGCAATCGTCAATAAGTGCAAGCATTACATTACAGCCGAGCACTTGATTAAGAAATCTAGGTAAATAAAGACATTATCGATCGAATTGAGAAATCTCATACAAAATCTTGTTTTACGTCTAAATAAATAAAATAATTAAGTAAATAGTAAGGAAACTGAAAAATGCAAAATATACTATATTAAATATCTGGGTAGGTACCTCTAGGTAAGGTAGGTATAACTTCTTCCTGCCCCTATACCAACCCACACCTACAGGTTGTGGGGTCGCCACAATAGGTTTATTCTTTCATTCTCTCCTATCACTTGTCATCCAATCACAAATTGTTTTCTCTTTCATATCATTGTAATAAGATCAATTTCCAAATCCCCATGTCATGTAACAGTTAGAACAATAGTGCACGCGCCCCATTTCTCCTCAACAATAATGTTAGTACAAAAAACAGAGCAATCTGGAAACATGTTCGGAACGACATTTCTATCTCTTTATACTGTCGATCTTTTGATATACTAATGTTCACATGTTATGTTCGCGTATCTCATAGTTTGAGCTTTTTAGCAAGCTGTATTTATTGTTGTCATTATCGCAGGATTTTCCAGTTATTAGTACTTATTTTATGTTTTTTCCACAGTGCGGTGCGTGACTGTGGCGGGTGCGCGTCGGTAGTGACGGTAGAGGCTCGCGAGGGCACATGGGGCGCAGTCCCGCGGGGCTCCGGGATGCTCATAGAGTGGCCTGGCGACAATGTCGGCATTAAGGCTGGAGACAGGTATGTTCAACATTATTTTTCTTGGATTTTACTTGTAGGAACTAGCTAACAATTTTGCTTTACAAGCTTTTCGTATTCAAACAAACAGTTGAGTAGATAAATCCTGTCTACACAAAACTATTGAACTGCAAGAAACAGGCGGAGCGTCCATTCACAGAACACCAAAACTCGCATAAACCTTTACGACACAATCTCTGCTGCACTCAACACTTTATGGTGCACAATAACTACGCAAATGCGCATGCGCACAGCACATCTGCGTGCAAACGCAGAGGAGCGCGGGTCAGCGGCCCACAATCACGAGCATCGCGATGCTATCTGTGCCCATAGATGGGCAACGATGGGCCTCGGACTGTGGACAAACACCGTGGAAGTAATTTACATTAGTCCAAGGAATTTCTTGGCATTTGTGACGGCCACACGCCGCGCCAAATAACAGCTTGTCTTATAAGATATGCAATCTTTGAGCTCGTTTTATATCTTTATTTGTGTTACAGTACGTAAATTCCACATCAATACACATTTCTAGTGAATAAAATTATTTGTGGCTCTTACTGGTTAAAATCTTGAATTTTTCTACAATGGAATCTACTATCTGAATATTGATATCATAAAGATATTTGAATTTGAACTATCTAGGTAGTTAATAAAGTATCTAGGTAGTAAAGTGTGGGAAAGCCATGCTTCGGCACGAATAGGCCGGTTCAACAGGAGCGACACCACGGCCGAGCAGAAAACCGACGTGAAGCAACGCTTGCGTTGTGTTACCGGAGGCCCAATTACCCTCCCCTTCCCCAATCTCCCCAATTCCTGAATCCCCAACGATCCTCAAACTCCTAATTCCAAAAGGCCGGTAACGCACTCGTAACGCCTCTTGTGTTCCAGGTGTCCTGGGCGACGCCGATTACTTGCCATCAGGTGATCCGTCTGCTCGTTTACCGGCTTATGCCATAAAATAAATATAAAAAAAACTTGCATGACGTCTACATCTTCATGCAATTTCCAAAATATTATCTGAAATCATAGTGTAACTAAGTCCAGGTAATCCAGAGTTTGTTGCGCCGGCGCCGCCCGCCGGCCTCGTCAGACCATCAATATACGTCAGATTTGAATGCTCATAGATAAGCTAGCCCTGAACAATGAGGAGAGGGGCATGCCGCCTCAGCTCAGGGAATGTACAAACTATCCTATCACTTCTAAGACTCACCGAATATTATATTACTTTTGTTAAATACCTCAATTTTTTGCTGAAAGTGTATATCAAGTCTAAGTTAGTAACTCGTTTGCATAAAAACTAGCGCATGGTTCTAAGCAAAATTTTGGCACAGACATAGGTCTTATTTTGGAATAACACACGAGGCTCGGCTTTGTATGCCAGTAACGCGGCTACGCTGATACAAAACTGTCATATACATTCGGAGTTTCAGCTACAGTAGTTCCAATCTAGTTTTAGTTCCCAGCCAGCTAACGTGACTTTCAATCCTGGAAGTCCCTCAGAACATATCCCGGGGCAGTAATAATAAATATTAATAGTATATGCGAATTGCTCTGACGTGACATATAAGGACTCGAACGATTAATTCTGTACGATTTATCGATACTAACAACCACTCTAGCGCATTTGTCAATCGAACATAATTCTCGAACATGCTTTAATAGATCTTATTAATGTTTCCCTTGTTGGTTATGTTGCAATGTTTTTATCATAATAATATTAAGTCGTTTTAAGTACATACCTATAGAAAACAGATATTCAGGAATGTGAGATAGTTGCAGGCTTCTTAACCTCTTATTTCAGTAATCACAAAAATCAAAACAAAAATGATATTTTCCCACTGAAATAAAGCAGGAATTCAAAGTTTGGCAGGAACTTTGGTTAAAGGCAAGTAATCACAACCCGATAATTTGGGCAGAGGGAGTTGCCTGAAAAGTTTTTAGAAATAAAACTACCGGTATTATAGGCAAAAAAAAAATCTCATGACGTATCTATTATTACGTACTCTTGTGACGTGTACATGGGAAAAAATCGTTTCTGTTTTGACTTTTGTGATTAAATACTAAAATAAAACAAAATATGAGAAGTTTTTATTAAATTTTGTCCGGTAGTCCGGAAGCCCTGTATAATCGATACGGCAGATACGGCGCTAGCTACCCCCTGCTACAATGACAGATGCACTAGTGGTCATTAGCCGAAATACGTTGAATATCCACCATCGTCATCCATATTGCAAAGCGGAGACGAAACGAAACAAATCATATTGTTAAATGCGTAATAGCAAACGACACCACACTTATGGTATAGAAACAATATTACCTGGTCACGCTCTAGGTCGCCGCTAGGTTCAGCCGGCACACTACACTTTTTTACTATATAGGAAAAAATTGTAGTGTGTGTGTGTGTGTGTGTGTGTTATAACGACAATTTCGTCGTACTAACTATTGAATAAAAGTACTGTAAATGGATTGTTTGCTTTAGGTATATTTAGATTAATAAACATTCTGATTTTGGCTTCTGTGGTCGCAACATGACCAATTTATGAACATTTTATAGCAAATAATTTCATCAGGATCAATAAAATAGATATTCTACTGACTGAAGTAGCTTACCTACCTGAACATTTTGCTCAACAGGCTGTTAGAAGTAAATGGCACATCAGTGATAGCGTGCCGCAACCAGGAGGACCTGCAGCGCGCCACGAGTGCTGCCAACCCTGCGCGGCTCGTGCTCTTGCGCAACACTGCCACTGCACACGCGCCACAACCAGCTAATGGCTTCACACAGGTGAATATTTCAGGCTGTGAATCCTACTATGAATTAAAAGTTCTCATTACATCGTTACTTAATTGAATAGGAAAACTCAGCAAATTACAATAAGTAATATTTAGCATCGGGTGTATAGAAACGCTGACACTAACTGTCGGTTCGCTTACCTGTCACGCTAAAGTGATTAATTATTTCCAGAACGAAGCTGCGTCATTACGAGCGGAGCTGGGAGCCCTGCGGTCAGCAGCAGACGACGCTGAGAAAGCAAAGGAAGGCTTGCGCGCTGACAACACCAGGCTCACACACCGCATCTCCTACCTCGAGGAACAGGTCGCTGAGCTCCTCAGCAGACATACACAGGTAATTCCATCATTAATGAGTAGCATACTACCTACCTACGTTAATCAAATTCAGGCATGCACTTGATGCATTAGATTTTGTCTGTTTCTTTCAAGTGATAGTGACAGCAACATTAATATTTTCTGTTTCAGCTTCATTCAACAAGCAGTAATGACAGCTGCATCACAGTGAACAAGACAAAGAAGAATGTCACTAATATCAACATCACAACAGATCCTCATCCGAAGCCCAGTCCCAAGTCCGAAGTACAGGTGTTCCAGAAAGGTCCCGACATTACTGCCATCGTCGCCAAACTACCGGGCCTCGACGGTGCCGAGAATAACCTGCCCATGATAAGACCGAGGTCTAATGCTTCAGGAGCTTCTTCCCGTGCTGCTATATCACCCAGAGCGTCTCCGCCCCTGAACCACAGGTCGCACAGCTCGCACAGTCTCGAACACAAAGCCGAACGAATGCGTCACTCTCTTTCCCACCACTGTATCCATGGTGCAGTTGACTATAGTGCTGAAACTGACGCAGCGATCCGCATGATCGAGAGGAACCAGAGGCACATAGAGAAACAACGAATGAAGAACGAGAGACTGAGCAGGTCCAAGTGCGAAGACTACTTCAGGTCAGACAGCGACCTCGACATACGGGACACGCATTCCAGCGCCAGCGTTGACCCCAGACACTACGAGATAAAGAAGGCAGCAGACAGAATAGAGGAAAGTATAAAAAAAACTAACTGGGCTGAGAGAAAAACTCTTTCAATCATTGAGCAACTGAAGCGATCACAAAGGCTTCGGAAAATGAAGAAGAACGACAGCTCAGAGGACATTCAGCTGGAATCTGAAAGACACTACATGTACCACAGAATAGATGGCAAGGTCTTAGAGAACGCTCACAAATCCAGTAGACGGACTTCCAAACTACACTCACGCAGTGCCAAGTCTTCCGAGTTTGAATCCGAGTCAGACTTTCCTAACGGCGACATGTACAGCAGCTCGCCGCGGATAGACTATGGCTCCGAGACGTGCTCCAGGATGAGTCATTACAAAAAGAATGATGATAGAAAAGACAGCGACGTGAAGTCGCGACCGACGCCGCCGCGGAAGCCACTGCGGCTATCTCTTCACAAGGCGAGAAGTGCGCACTCTTTGATAAACGGTAGTGAGTCTGAGACTCCTAGTAGACCAGCCTCGGAGGCAAAGCATACAGATACCGAGTGCAATAAGAGGCCCGTGAAGAGGACACACGCAGCCGACAAGTGGGCGCGGGAGAGGATCCGCGACGCCGGCCGCGCCACGCCCCGACCCACGAGGAAACACCTCAACGGACTGACAGCGTGCGAGGCGCCCGCCGCAGATGACCTCTACCCAGAAAACACACACATGCCTGTCCGGATAAATGGAATGGGGGCCAAGTGGTGTTAGTAGCTCCTTCAGGCGAGGAGGACAAACATTTTAATAAATGGCACAACGAGGCTGAAACAAAACTAATGTATTCAAATTGTGTTTAGATTGTTAATTCGAAAGTTATATAAATTGCTACTAGTTATGCTTACAAATATACATTGGTTCACTTGCACAATGTTGCCACGAATTAAACAATTGATTACAACTCAACAAAATAAATAAGTGTACAGAAGATTATGGACATAGAGAATAATGTAAATACACGTATGTAAGCACCCACCGCGCAATACTCACCTAATGTAACGTATTTATTTAAGATATTTTAAGATTTGTGTAAATGACAATAAACATAATTACTCCTCCATAATTATTAGGACCCCATTTTTAAAACCTCATCTTCACTCAATAATATGAATACCCAAAATTATCAACTTACCTACCTACTTCAAAACTGTCTATTGATATGTTATTTTCAAAAACCCCGACAAATCATTTAACTGGAGATTGGACGTACAGGCAATTCCTCCTAATGTAATTGAGGTATTGCCTGGATGCTTGGATATTTCGAAATAAAACATCTGTCATCATAATAAAATCATTTTAATTATTAATACTAGCAACAAAAACAAATGACATATTATGTACACCAAATTAATATCGTATAAACATTTATCATAACTACCCAAAAACTGAGGTCATCGCCTACTCTTAATATGATATTGTTTATACTTCGATTGGAGCTGGGTGCACTCATTACCTCCATAATAACAATATTACAATGCATGCAGCATGCTGAGATTATAATCAAACAATATCGTTCACTAACAGTAGAGTATGGCTCCAGCAAGTCGATATAAATACTCAACTTTGGTTGAGTATGACGCTTTTTCCTACTACTACTTGTAAGTAGGCATTATATATAGGCATATCAATTTCAAAAAGATGCACACCGTCATCGGATACCTGTCATACTAATATACAAAGCAAAATTGATTCTGGAAGCAAATAGAATAACTTGCTAAACACATAGATCAGCTTAAACATTCCTAATAAAATGTGGAACAGAATATAACAAGCACCTTAGGTATAAGTATTACATGAAAGCTAACTATTATTAAGTCTGTATTGCAGAATACATATGAACGTCCATTACAAAACAATATATTATGGCAAATAATGATCCATTATCTATCGTACACAGACCACATAATGTTTCGTTTAACTTTATAACATTCTACATTTTGCTTTATTATTATTACTGTATGTTGTCAACTGTTTAGATACAAGATACGAATTTAAAAATCATTATAATCTTGGAACGACAGTTTATTGACACCATGGCAAGCTTGAAACGCAAGTAACTCATCGACTGTTACCTTATACGAGCACAGTACGAATACAAGTGAGAGCGTATAACACAGAGCGATATATCCGACCAAAGTTAAGTATTTACTATGACACAACATTATGCGCTGCCTCCTCAACTGGCTATGCGAATAGGCCCTACACTGACTAGATCCCATGGTAAGCCTCCGACATGAATAAAACCATAAATCAAGTGTGTACTGAGTGATAAAATATTTTGAAGATAACTTTCTCATTACGAATTGAGATTGAATAAACACAAAATATCAGTGCACTTGTTTATAGAGTTAATCACCAAGTGTAAAACAATTCCTCGTGTATCAGTACGAACCCAATACATTAATGGATCTTTTAGCATATACATTAAATATTAACACACAATAAATGTGACCTCGCAACATTGTTCCTACTAACGCCATTTGAACGGCAGCGCATCGACAGTCTTAATAATAATCGACTAATCTACAATAACTGCAGTACTCGCCAAATATAGGCGTAGAAAATTGTTTATAAATTCTATAGTTATTGTGCACGGCTGACACTAAGCAACAAAACAACCAAGCTAATTAATACGCAGTGAACAAAACTTATACTTATTTGTAAAATATAAGTACACTGGAATATGTCATAATTGCTTTAGGCAGGGCAATCGATACATTGTCTCAAGCAAATATCGTTTAAATCATACGATTTATGCATTGATTCGGATCTTACTAAAACTCCGAAATTATGAATTAACAGGCGGTAATAATACGACTTGTGGTTATCTCGGCTGCCAGTCTCGGCCGCGAACAACAAAATGGCGGCCCATTTGAAAATCGAAGCGTCCGACATAACATCCAGAATTCCAGATCTATGGAAATGGCCGAACTTAGCCTACATAAACAATATTTACAATTTAAATGTTACTCTCAAAGAGATCTTAGATCATTTCTTAACAGTTTATGATGGTAAATACAATGTTATACAGTTATAATATTTTTGCGTATAACTCAGGATAATTCTTGAGTTCAATTTGCGGTCAGATAAATCTTACAATATTTAGTTTATTCACGACCCTATAACGTTAATCACTTTAGATAGAAGATTACTGAGCTATAGTAATTACAGTACTTCATTAAGTTCCATAGTGCATCGTTGACAAGATTGAAAGACAACCTTTCAAGTAAACAGTGATATAAGTATACCTAACTAGACAGTCAATGATCTCTGGGTATTTCGTTATAACTGGTGCTTCCCAATATTATGTATCAGATGAATACCAGTAGCGAATCATCAAAGTTAACTAACATAAATATAGGTACCTACAGAGTATACATGTATTGTAAAAGCTATTAAGTTTTAATTGAGAAAAAATTGTTGACTTTTAAAATTAAGTGAATTTGATTAATGTGTCATATACTAAACCAATAGTCCAATATATACGTGTAAGTCAAACGTCACTCCTATTTCGGGGTACATTATTGGAAAGTAATAACAGATTGACATTGGCCAGAAACAGTCTAATCTTATATGTAATTCCAAACAACTACAGAATATGAATAAAACTCGAGTATCCACCACTAAGTACTCTGGCAGTCATTTTAAGATTTGAAAACTTGATGATAGGAGTTCTATAAACTCTAAAATACAGATAAATGTAAACTTCTCACAAAACAAATATATCGTACCTACGTCAGTGCTGCCGGCCTGCCAGCGCGTGTGGCGCCATGTTGTAGGAGACAGCATCCGACGTGGTGGGCCAGTACTTAGAACTCGAAGCATCGGCCCAGGTTGACGTACTTCTTGAGCGCGTACGGCAGCGGTAGCTCTTTAACGCCGCGCTTCATCAGTATAGAGAGACGCACGCGCCGCGCGTCCGCGCCTGCGCGCCGCGGCCGCATGTCGTCGTACTCGCTGCGGTCGTGGTCGTAGTCGTGGTCGTGCTCGGGCCCGTGCCGGTCGCAGCGTTCGCTCACGTGCTCGCCTTGCTCCTCGTGCTCGTCGTGGTCATCGTGCTCGTCCTGCTCGCGCTCGGGCGCGCGGCGCTTGCAGCGACTGTGCTCGCCTGACGTGGTGGAGGAGCTGGCCGAGTACTCGGGCGACGTAGACGACTGTGCGCAGTGCCCCCGCTTCGGGATCCGGCGACGACCTGAATGTTGCAACAGTAGACATATGAGCACCAGCCAAAACAACGGTAATATGCAGCGTGAATATTACGTGATTGTTCTCCGGAGATTAAAATAATGATACTGTTTTGGTAGCACAATCGATTGTACATTTTTTGTTGGTTAAATCGCAAGTCTGCAGGAAGAAATTCCTTTAGAAACATGCAGCACCGATGTACCTCATGCTCTCAATATGTTGTGTATGTAATATTGTCTATACTATGCTGTACACAAAAATATAAACAAATAATGAACAAGCATACACCTACCTCCGATAAGATTCTCGTCGTACTCGAGTTCGAGCTCATCACAAATGATCTCCGGCTGCATGGCGTCTCCGTCCGATTCGTCCATGGACTCGGACTTAGCAGGTGAGGAGCTGCTGGACGTGGTGGTTCCCTCCCCGATGCCACTGTCCAGTTTTTTCCTCTTTTGTTCTTGAGAAGTGTCCTCTTCACTAGAGGACTCTTGTTTCTGCTCTGTACCCTGTCGCTCCCATTGTACATAACGCGACGTGCTGGGAACTTCTTTTCCCAGATATATTTCTACCTCAGCTGGGACTTTAAGTGGATCTGATTTAGCACTATCTGAGTCTGTCTTCGAAGATTCAGAAGTACTAGGCGAGTCCTGTCTGAAGGCATTAGTAACAGGGCGGCGCTCGTCCTGGAACTCGAAGGTGAGCAGGCCGCGGCACGAGCGTACCGGCTTGGGCTCCGGCAGATACTCGGGCAGGATGGTGTCGTTGTACACGTCCGGGTTGGCCGCCACGGCCGCGCGCGCCGCCGCCCGCTCCGCGCGGATGTGCCGCTCGGCGCGCGCCGG